TGTGGGGAACAACAACAACAGCAACGGCTCACGCCTGATATTTCCTCACAATTAACTGAAGAATTGCGCTCTCGCTTTGGACTTCCTAGCTAATTACCACCGAATCGTGGCTCCCGCCTGATACTTCATGACAAATTATTGCAAAATCGCGTTCTCGCTTGGGACCTCCTCGCAACTTACCACCGAACCGTTTCGCTTGATATTTCCTCATAATTTACTCAAATGCCGGTCTTCGACACTCAGGAATCGCGTTCCCGCTGCATACCGCCTGGCGGTTCAAGCAGGGCTCACGCTTCAACGACCCGCCCACTCGACCCGCCCGTCAGGGCCTGCCCGCCCGACCAGCCCGTTAATGACTGCAGTCGCCGCTCGCTGCCCTTCGCCCGCCTTCGATGCCCCTCGCTGCCCGTACCGGTTCCGCGGTCGCCTTCGATCGCTGCCCTTCGTGGCCCCGTTGCTGCCCTCAGTGGCCCCGTCGCTGCCCTTTGGGCCCCGCATTATATGCCTTTCCTGGCCCCCGCTCGCACGCGCCCGCAGTGGCCCCATACGCATGCCCCTTCGTAGCCCCGCTGTCGCCCTTCGTGGCCCCCTCGCTGCCCTTCGTGGCACCTTTGCTGCCGTCAGTGGCCCCGCTGTCGCCCGTTGTGGCCCCGTATGCAAATGCCCTTCTTGGCCCCCGCTCGCTCGCGCCCGTCGTGGCCCCATATGCATGCGCTTCGTGGCCCCGCGGTGGACCTTCGTGGCCCTAATGCTGCCCTCGGCGGCCCCGTCGCTGCCCTGTGGCCTTGGATGTTATGCTCTTCGTGGCCCACGCTGGCTTTTCTCATGATTTACGATTCATGCAGGACCCACGCTTCAGCACCCCGCCTGCTCGACCTCGTCGCCTTGTCCCGCCTTCCCGACCTGCCGTCATGGGTCTGCCCACCCGATCTGCCCGTCTGGTTTTACCACTTGTTTTCTGTTCCTTGCCTCCCTCCTGCTAATTTCTCTCGTGCTCCATTGTTCTCCCTCCACCTTCCACCCGTTCTCTCTTCCCTTGTGTTCGGGGCTGCACTGAATACACGTGGCAGGTAAGGAAGATATGCCTCGAAGGGGGTACGATCGATGACGACGAAGGCGGGTATCGAGGGTTTGGGGTATACGTATTGATGGGCACGTGAGCAGATAGGAGCGAACAGTCTGAACATGATTGTGGTTGCTGTTGTTGTTATTGTTGTTTTTGTTGTTGTTATTACTTTTTTGTGTTGTGTGTTGTTTGTTGTTTGTCATTGTTGTCGCCGTCCCGCCTGCGACCCGGCCCGCGACCCACCCGCGACCCACCTGTGACCCTCCCCGTTACCCACCCGCGACCAACCCGCGACCAACCCACGACCCACCCCGCGACCCGTCCGCGACCCGCCCGCGACCCACCCGCGACCACTACGCGACCCGCCCGCGACCAACCCACGACCCACCCGCGATGCACCAGCGACCCACACGCGACCCGCCCGCGACCCGCCCCCGACCCACCCGCGACCCGCCCGCAACCCACCCGAGACCCACCTCGCAACCCACCCGCGACAGGCCCATGGCCCACCCGCGACCCACCCAGCGTCCGTCCCCTCACTCTTATCCGCAACTGCGGGATGCTATGCTCGATTGAAGGACACCTCCAACGATAGCTCCTTTTTTAGACAGGACTCGTCCCCCATCCGCGCAGCCGTTGCACACTCGTTGAAGTCCGGGCCCTCAGAGCTGACTCAGTCTCAGGAAAAAAGGAAGCCCCCCCCATCCGTGTGCAGAACTGCTGGGAGCTTGAAGTCGAGTCTGCGCGTCAACAAGGCGAGCCCCGTGTTGCAAAGGAGCTGCCTTCCACGCGTTGAAAAAGAGCATGCGCTGTGCCACGGCGAAGCACCCATGGTGTCAACGACCTGGTCTCCATCCGTGTAACCGTTTGAAGTCGTTCGGCACCACATCCCAATTTTGATAAACACCTGGGCTAGATCAGCTGAGGTGTTGGGAATGCCGAGCTTCAAGACACTACGCTGTGAAGATGCCTCGGGCGAAACGCCCGGCCAGTCCTAACGACCCGCCTGGTAGCGCGACAGGGATGAGTTATATGTGTCTATACATAAAAAAGGGAAAGGATGGAAATGCCATTCACATTTGTCCTTGAAAACGGCTTCCCAAGGTCCGCTTTCGGGCTGATGGGCGTTCAAGCAACCGTGCCAGAGAAGAAACATTGCCTGATCCCGTGGGTGGGAGCGTCTTCGCCGACTTTGGCGGGAGTGCGCACGCACGGCTGAACAGTACCACAAGGAGAAGAGGAGGACAAGCAGGAGGAGGACCAGAGCAAACTAACGATGCGTAAGCGATGCTGCACTAACGCCTCCCGTCCCAAATCCCCTCCTCATAGGCCCCTACAATTCCTCCTTGTCGCTACAAGATGCGCCCCCCTTGACAAAAAAACAACACAATTGGGCCTGCAGTTTCGTCACGACGCCGGTTTCGAAACGACGTTGCCTGGCATACTTCTGGCGCGCAGCCAGGAAGTCCCACAGGCCAGCTGGGTGTCCAACGAAACCCCCTCTTCGAAGAAGGACCGCACCCCCTCCCCCCCTTACGTGTAACTGCTGCACAAATTCTACGCAGGTGGTCATGGGCTTCGAGAGAGAGCCGCCACGGGAGGAGGGAGGGTGGAAGGAGGGAATGTGAAACGGATGCGGGGGGAGACAGCATGGGAGGGGACCGCGTCCGCGGGACAGCGCGCGCGAGAGGTCCAGGGACGGAGGAGTGAGGCCGATGAGGCCGAGGGGAAGTTCCCGGGGAAGGCGAAGAGGAGCGAGGAGGGAGCAAGGGGAGGCGGGGGAAGAGCGGGACACAGGGGGAGAAGCGAGAAGGTGGGAGGCGAGAGGCGGGCCAGGAGGAGGAGGGGGCAATGGGCCAGGGGCCAGACCCTCAGGGGAGGTGGAGCTGCAGACGGAGGTCTCCTGCAGCCCGGCTGCCTCTGGAGGTCTTCCCCGGAGGCGCCTGGAAGGCCCGGGAGGCTCTCGGAGGCCCCTCAGCGCAGGCCAGGAAACAAAGGACATCCGCCGACCCTGCCGGCGTGCGCGAGACGCTTCTCGCTTTGAGCCGTCGTCGTCGTCGTCGTCGTCGTCGCTGTCGCCGTCGCCGCTCCCCTTCCCGTTGGGGTCGTCGTCGTCGTCGTCGTCGCCATCGCCATCGCCATTCACCCCCTTTCCCCAGGACCCTCCTCCTCAAGCGATCAAGCCTCGAACGACGTCGCACTCGAGTCGACAGAAAAACCCCTTCTATTTGATACCTCTCCAAGGGAGGTCCCGGGGGGGCCCCCAGAGTCGTGAGCCGCCCCCTCTCCGACCAAGACGGCCCAAGAGAGCCCCAAAGAGCCGGAGGAGGAGGAGGAGGAGGACGAGGAGGACGAGGAGGAGGAGGAGGAGGAGGAGGAGGAGGAACCGACATTCGAAGCCCTCTGCCCAGAGAGACGCCACCGGAAAGCCCCAAGAGGCGCCCCAGATCCCCCATCAAGGCCCCAGAGCGACCCCAGATGCCACAAGGCGGCCACCGAGCACCCAAGGGGTCAAAATCATAGACTGCCTTTCGGTCTTCCAGATATGTTAGGGTTCTCTAGCTCCCTAGACTTCCTGCGCTACAAGAGGGTCCAAAAGGTCCCCGAGAGAGCCCTACGACGACCCAAGAAGGCCTCACGACGGCCCGGAGACGGACGCCCCGAGACGGCATCCCGAGAGCCTAAAAGGGAACCCAAGACGGCACCCACAAGGCCTCAGGCGCTCCAAGACGGCCCAAAAGGAGGCCCCACTCGCCCCAGGATGGCCCAAGAAGCGCCCCAGGCGGCCCCAGGATGGCCCAAGAGGGCCCAAAGACGGCCCAAGACCTCTCCTAGAGTACCTCACAGGACTCCCAAGAAAGGCCAAGAAGCCCACAGGGAACCTCACTAGGGCTCGCGAGCGTCGTCGTCGTCGTCGTCGTCGTCGTCGTCGCAGCCGCCGTCGCCGCCGCCGTCGTCGCCGGATTTGGCGCAAAATATGCGGTGCAAGCTATGTGGTGCAACATCTGTGGTGCAAGCTATGCAGCTCGAGCTATGCAAGGCAATATGTAGTGCAAACTGCGCGGCGCAATCAATGTTGTAGACGGTGCGAAGTGCAAGCTGGGCGCCATTTATACTGTGCAAATGTTTGGTGCAACCGATGTTGTCCAGACTGCGTTGCTCAAACCATATGCTGTCATCTACGTGGCCCAAGCTCTGCGGAGTAAACCATATGTGATGCAGTCTGCGTGATGCAGTGTACGCGGTGAATACTAAGGGGTGGCTCTGCGTGTTGCAGTGTATGGTGTAATATATCGTCATATGTACATATATATATATATATTGACACACATCCATTTACATCAACGTATAACTAAACATATGGTGCAAGCGTTGTGGTGCAATATATGTGATACAGGCTATGAGGCGCAAGCTCTGGGGTGGAACCTGCGCGGTGCAACCAACGCGGTGCAAGCTATGAGCTAATTATGGGGCGCGGCCACTTTGAACAGCTCGGGCACGTCAACCCCAATCCTCACATTTGAGACCAACACAAACCCATTCGTGCGACCACTCTTTGGGGAACTCTGGAAAATCAAAGTGATCGATCCTCGGATCCTCCTCCTCCCTCCTCCACCTCCTCCTCGTCCTCCCTCCTCCCTTATCCCTCCTCCTCCTCCTCCTTCTCCTCCTCCTCATCCCCACGTTTCACACCTCCTCATCCTCATCCTCCTCCCTCCTCCTCCTCCCCTCGCCTCCTCTCTCCTCCTCCTCCTCCTCCTCCTCCTCCTCCTCCTCCTCCTCCTCCTCCTCCTCCTCCTCCTCCTCCTCGTCCTCCTCCTTCTCCTCCGCCTCCTCCTCCCTCCTCAGACTCTTCCTCCTCCTCCCTCCTCTCCCCCCCCTCCCCCCCACACTCCTTTCCTCCTTTCCTCCCTCCTCCCCCCCCACGGCGCACTCCTGAAGCGACCTGCCCGCGCCCACGGACGCGCCCGCGCGGCGAGCGACAGCGCCCTCCGCATCGGCGTCGAAGAGGTCTATGCAGTCCGCCTCGCCAGCGGGCCGCGACCACCACGACGAGGGCGACGACGAGAACGACGGCGAGATGTTCACCCGTCGTCAATATCAGAATCCAGTTGCTCCCCCTCGCTTCCCCCTCCTCCCCTTCTCCCATCCCGCCCCGTCTCCCTCACCTTCTCGCCCATCGCTCCCTCTCCGGCCTCTCCTCCCGCTGCCTTTCAGACTCCCCCACCCCTCTCCTTCTCAGCCCCCCTTCTCCCTCCCTGTCCACGTGGCCCTCACGCCCGATCTGGCCTGGGCCAGCAAGCAAATGGAGGGCACCTTTCCTCATCCGCCCCCCTGGGCGCACTCGAAGAGCGCTCCGCCACAAAGTTTGGACTCGGGGTCGGCGACGCCTCTGCTTCATCGTCCTCCTCTCATCGGCCGCGCGGGACTGGCCTCCCAAACATGCGACGTCATGAACTGACTCATTTCCTGGGCCACGGAATGTCTCGGCCCCAACACTCGTCTGGGTATCGCGGCTCAGCGGGAGCCCGGCGGAAAACCCTGAAGGGGGGACTACATGCTGCAAGCACGGCGACAACAGCAACGATAAACGTGACGATGCCACTTTTCACACAAACTCATATGACTCGATGAGCGCGCTCCACTACTCGCAAACTAACTGCTCGCAAATGGCCTGGATCCCTCGCGGGGGATCTACGATAAATGATGTCAAAGCAGACAAGTGTTTTTTCGGACGTCTGCGAGTAGGCACTTTGCGAGTAGTGGAACGCGCTCGGCGAATGACACGATGCCCGGATGCCGCGAGCGCGCGGCGGCAACGTCGCCTGCCGGGCTCTGTCGAGCACCGCGCCCCCACCCCCACAGACCACCTCTGGCGCCTCTCGCGCCAGACCACCAGACCACCTCTCGCGCCTCGGGGAAGCGCCGCACTGGCGGCCCCTCCTCCCAGGCCTCGTCTCGAACCTCCGCTGGTCCTCGCCTCGCTTCCTCCGGCCCTCGGCCACGCCGCCTCTGCTGCCCACCTCGCTCCCCTCCTGAGCCTCGCCGAGCCGCGCGGCCGCTCTGCAAACAGCTGCCTCTCCGGCCAGCTCATCAGGCTCCCTCGTGCAAGCCTCGCGCTTGCCCAGTGCGCGGGGCGCGCGCACGCAGTGCCGCGCCGCCGCCGGACATGCCTACCCTTCCCAGAAGGGCTCCCAGTCGTAGCCACAGGCACGCCAGCCTGGCCCGTGACCCTTCAGACCTCAGCGGCCCCAGGGAGGGGAAGCACGTCCTGTTGAGGTACTCCTGAACCGTGCGCCTGTTCGTCTGGGTGGCCTCCAAGCTGTCTTGATGGCCGCGGAGGCAGAAGCCCGGCTCGTGGAAAAACTTGGCTACGATAAAGTGCAATGCCACCCCGGAGGCAGAGATGCTGTCCTGGGCGAGTTGGGTGGCCTCCTGCTGGGTCGGGTCGGGCCCAACCACTTCCCGAAGTTTACGTCCCCTCTCTTGGTGACGTGGCGGGAGCCCTTCACGAGATTCTTGTCCTGCAGCGCCTCCGGCAGAGCCGGGGCAGCATCCACGACTAGCTTACGCGGACACCCGCGAAGCCACCCCGCGAACCCTCCGGCAGCTGCCAGGCGTGGGCCGCCACGTCCTGCTGGGCCGGCCAGCGGGTCCCCCGGGTGGCGCGGCGCTCCTCGGCCTCCGCCAGCCACTCACCCATCGGGTCCTGCCTGCGTTTCTGCGGGACTGGAAAATGACCACAGCCACTGCTTCTTGTTTGCGCCGCCTTCCAGCCGGCCGAAAAGGAAGCAGTGGTTGTGGTCATTTCCCTGGTGCCAAGCTCAACGAAAATGACCACAGCCACTGCTTTGTTTCTGCGGGCTGGAAGGCGGCAACGAAAGAAAAGCAGTGGCTGTGGTCGTTTTCACGCCCCGTAGTTTCTCGTCGGAGGCGCAGCCCCTGTGCAGGCGCGTCAGGGCAGGGCGCTCCGGGGCGACGCGGGGCTGCAGACGGAGCTGAGCTGGAGAGCCGTGGCGAGAAGGAGCAGATCGGGCAGGAGCTGATGGAGTCCCTCAAATCCGTCACCAAGGCTGCTTGCGAGCCGAACACCGCGATGCCAACGACAAGATGATGGGATTTTTCGCCAACAGGGCCTAGACGAGCACAGCGACCAGGCGGTTATCGAGGGCATGGGCAAGTTGCGCCTGGGCGTCTTCATTGACTGCCTCTTGCGCGAGTTCGAGGCCGCGGGCTGGGTGGACGCCCAGCCGCGCTGGCGTGCCGCGAGGCGACCTCGGTCCAGTGCGGCAGGTGCAGAAGATGGTAGACGCAACGCAGATGGAGTTCGTGGACGCGAACTCACCGGTAGGGTGGCGGACTCAGCTGCGCGAGAAAGAGCAGCTGCTCGGGTCTGCCGGGCCCGCCGCAGTGGTGGAGGCTGAGAACCGGAGGCGGCGGGACCCCAAGCTGCAGGCCGAGTGCCCGAGCAGGAGCAGCAACGAGCGGTGGCCAGAACCACCGCGGCTTCCGGGGCGGAGCATCGGACGCAGCTGGTCTCGGGGTTTCAGGCCGAGCTCGCCGGAGAGGGCGTCTGCGGGAGTGGGACAGCTTGGCCGCGGCGGTGGGGGGCGAGCTGGTCAGGCGGCAGGTCTCAGAACTACAAGCCAGGATGTCCGAGGAGAAGGGGCAGCGAGGAGCGGCTAGACGCGAAGCAGCCTTCGGTTGCGCCGGTCGGGCTGCCGGAACATCAGCGGCCGCACGAGTCGGCCGCCTCGGCCACGGGCTGGGCCGCGGCCGAGGCCGCCGCCGTTCGGAGGGAGCGAGTCGCAGATGCAGGAGTCCGGCCGCGCGGAGGAGTTTCAGATCTGGCGCAATGCCAAGACCGCCGAGGTCGAGGTTAGGGATACGATGGAGGAGCAGGCCAAGAACAGGAAGGAGCAAGCAAAGACCGCGAACGACCTGGCCGAGGCCAAGGAGGAGTGGGCCAAGAGCCGGCCGTCAGGGCGGACAACGCAGCATTCCCGCAAGACATGGAGGTCACCCGCGCCGACGCGGACGATACTTGAGCTCAGAGCGAGGCGGCACGCCAGCCAGAGACCGTGGCCATGACGGAAACCATTGGCACATTCTGACTGGTGATGAGTCCAAGGACGCCGCCGCGGGCATGTAACATGTACAGCCTGCTGCAGCGGGGCTCCGTTTGCAGCGCCGCCGCCGAGAGCCCCGAGTTGCAGCGCCGCTGCCGCGTGGCGGCGAGGGCGCTGCGCGGCGTGGCCGAGAAGTCGTACGGCCAGGAGCTGTCGATGCTGGCGTACACCATCGATCTGGACGCCTTCGCGAACGTCAAGATTGCGATCGATGGCATGATCGCGATGCTGAAGAAGCAGATGGCCAGTTTTTTTTCTCGTTCGGTGTCGTTTTCTTCTTCCCTCCCTCCCTCCCTCCCCCTCCTCCGCCTGCTTTTTCCTCGTGTTCTTGCCTGTCTTGCCTCTTTTCTGCCCCCCCTTTTTCCTCCTGTCGCGGTTGGGGGTAAAACCATTACTACTATCTCCCACCCCCTTCTGTCTCTGTCAACGTGAGTATCCCGCCACGCATCCACTGCACGTTGTTGTGTGTGTACGCAGGGATCACGGCACTCTCCTCTTCTCGTCGCATTCGCCCGCCGCGAGCCCGTCAGGAAGGCTCTTGTGTCGGTCCGCGTCCGTTCCCGCTGCCCGGGAGCAATGGCGGCACGCAGGGCCGCGGTGGACGAGAGGTTCGCGGCGCTCGAGGCGAGAGTCACGTCGGTGGAGGGTGGGCTGCAACGCGTAAAGAGGGACCTGGGCGAGGTGCGCAAGAGCTGCCACGTCGTCCTTGAGGGGTTCGACAAGGTGGAAAGCGCGTGGGCAGAACACGCGCCGAGCCAGTTGTGGAGGGAGCTCCGCCTGAAGGTGCCGAAGGCGGTGGGCGAGGACCTCTGTGAGGCCCTCCAGGTGCCGTGGCCGCTGCCGCAGGAAGACTCCCAGGAGTTCCAGGCGCTGGGCGACACGGGGCGGGCTATCTCCCAGATAGTCAGCGGCCTGGCCGGCGCGGACGTGCTGGCGCACGTCTTCGACCAGTCGAGGAACACGGCCGGCGGCAGGAGCCGAGTCGAGGGCACCGTTCGGTTGACCCTCCGGTTCGGCGAGGAGTCCCTGTCGGTGCAGGCGGCGCTGTCCTTTTTGGACGGGCCGCTTCGCACGGCAGCGGGCCTTCCCGTTCGCGGGAGGCCTGCGCCGCCGAGGGCGGAAGGGGCCCCTGCCCCGAAGCGCAGGCTGGCGTACGCCGAGGCGACGCCGGAGGAGCGGGAGCGCAAGCGCGCGCGCCAGGAGGCCAGCGGTGGCGGCCCCAAGGGCAGGGGCGGGAAGAGCAGCAAGGGGCGCGGCGGCAAAAACGGCGGCAAGGGCAAAGGAAAGAAGGGTGCCAAGGGGAAGGGTAAGGGCAAGGCCCAGGGCAAAGCGCCCGCCGCGCCCGCGGCCGAGCCCGCCGCCAGCGCCCCGGCGTCCTCTGTGGCCCCAGCGCCGGCGGCAGCCCCGACCGCAGTGGCGCGGGCCAAAGCCGCTGCTGACGCGGTGGCCGCGGTCCACGCCAAGGCCGCCCCAGCGGCCGCCGGCAGCGCCGACCCTCCCCCTCGGGGGCGGGGGCGGTGGTGGCCTGAGCGCCCACCCCACCGGCGTCGCATTATGAGGGGGCCTCACCACACCCCCGGCGGCGCCGCAGCGGAACGTGGTGGGATTGGTTACAGGCTGATGCTTAGTTTCGCCCCCCCCCCCCCCCCCCCCCCTTCCCCCCCCCGCCTGCCCCCTCCCTTCCGCCCCTCCCCCCCCTGGCTCCTCTTGCCCCTCCCCTCCCTCCACCCCCCACCACTGCGGGCCTCGCTTTGTCCATCCTCCCTCGTCTACCAAGGCATTTATTTTCCAGGCCCCTGGTATGGGGCCCTCTCCCGCCCGCCGTTCGACGGCGACTCGGCGGAGGACGAGGACGAGCACGAGGCAGA